TCAGCAAATAAACTCCATGAAACAAGTTGATATATTGTAAAAGTTAAACGATCAACCATAAGACGTAATGTAGCTGTACGTTGTTGTGGTGTTACTGTTGATACAAATGATTTTGTATTACGTCTTGTTTTTATTGGATTTATTGGTGTTTGTTCACGTGTTAATTCTTCACTAATACTTTGTCGTGGTGAACTAATTAAACTACTTAATAATGAACTAGCACGACGTTGTCTTGTCAAACGTTGTAAAGGATCTAAATCATTTGATAAATTTGTCATACTCATACGACGTGTTGTATCATGATCTAATATACATGAATGAAATGTACGTTGAAACCATGTTAATGAAAATTGATACATTATATTTAAATTTGATAAATGATTAATAAGAAAATAAAGTAATGAACCACGTTTAGCTAATGAAACATAACATTGACGAGCTAAATTTATTTGTCGTTCATTTGATTCATTTTCATGATAACGATTTGATATTTCATCACTTGTTATTTTTGATCGTGTTAAATTATCAATAAGATCATGACGATCAAGTAAATGTTGTTCAGATGTTGTTAACATTTCTAATGTACGATCTTCATAATCACGTAAACTTTTTAAATCTTGTGCCATAGTTTCTAATAATACTTTACGTTCATATTCTAAATGTGGTTCTTCATTTAAAACAACAAGACTTAATAATTGATGTTCTAAACCATTTTGTGTTATGGTAAAATTAACTAAAAATACAAAAGAATATGATACAATCGAATATTTGTTGTTGTTGTTGTTGTTGTTTTTATTTATTTCTTTTATTCTTACTTAATGTAACACGAATACAAATATCAGGTAAAAAATGTGGATTATTTAATTGTGTTATAAAATAAACACGAAAATTTGGATTATATTCAATATCAATATCATTAAAACGAATTGTTCCAATAGTTGAACTTGTTCGTTTAAATAAATCACGATCAAGTAATGGTAATAATGATGATTCAATTGTTTCACCAACATTTTCAATAATTAATGGTAAACCAAGTCGAATACATTGTTCACATACACGTAATAATGTTGAATCATCAGCTGTTATTACACGTAAATTATTTTCTGCTTCTTTTGTTCGAATCCTTTCAGAAAAAAAAAAGTTATATGAAAAAAACAAATTGTATTTTGTTTTTCTTTTTAACATAATTACCATTGAATTGCTTGTCGTTGTGGATCAATTAATAATGGCCATTTAGTACAATGTTTAACAAGAACAGCATTTTCACTAGAGAATAAAAAAACAATATAGAACTGTATTTATTAGAATTTAAAATTCAGTTTAGTCTAGGAATGTCCAATGTTACTGTAAATACTGAACAGTGAGTCACTTACATAAGATCTACTCTATCAAAATATGCTTTTTTTGTAGCGACGTGTTCCAATGCTTCAATGAACACTGAGTCGGCGATCAGTAAGCTGAAACTGTGCACATCCATGATCGGATGTATATCGCAGTTTTTTTCACCAATATCTGACATACTCTGTGTTTATGATCGAATGAAGAATCGAGGGTTCAGCTATTTATTAACTCATCTTTGAAAACAAAATTGAAGCACAGTCGAAACATTCTACTTGAATAGGCTGACATCAACTTTTCTCTATTGAGACTAGGAGATAAATACAAACTAGATCTAAAATTAAATCTAGATATAGATCCGCAACGACTCTCAACTATCTTCCAATGCGAGCTCAATAAATAATAATAAAGTCGAATGAATAACTTAACTCTATGAATACAAATATTATATCTACAAAAAAAAAATATTACATTCAAGTAGTAACTATATATCTGTCTTGTGCACTCTTGTACAAAATGATAAAATTTTTCTGACATTATATAGAAAATAGATGTAACATTACTATTGCTTAGTATATAATGGTATAATAAAAGAGCCCGTCGAATACGTACAGGCCCCGAAACCGACCAGATCTGGGTCGGAAAATTTCCAGGTGACAGGAGCCAGGACCAATCCGATGCGTACTACCCTAAAACTCAGAGCTAATCATAACTTAATCCTTATAGAATCACCGTCAAGATAGCCTGAAGAAGAATACTAATCTCTTTCTGCATGGAGTACTTCCTAGTGGCAGATTGAGTCGCTCGATATCTTCCCTACTACTAATACTAGGTATAGTTCTGGACAGAAGAGTTAGTCTAATGTAGAATTCTTGCACTTCATATACACATAAACTAACCACAAAAGTAGATGATGAATGAGCCAAGACAAAAAACTATTAATGACTTATCCAGGATACCGAAGTTCGAATACAGTATCTGGTGAATATATATCGAACAACATAGTCACTCAGCCGTGCCGATCAATACTATATGAGAAATGTGTAAGGTGTGCGAATCACCGATACAAATAATCGGAAAGAAATATCTCGCATCTTCGAACCAATTATCAAGTTTGAACTAAAATATTTCATTGAGAGTATTAAGAGTACAATTCGGGTTCATATCCAGAAGTTTTGTACTAAATCAGCTTTAGTCATAAATATCTTCTACAGATGATAATAGTCCAAAAAATATTTTTATCAACTTACATTGAACATTCGTCATCAGGTAATTGTTGACTAATCCAATTTCTTATTTCACTTGGTGTTGATAAAATAGATGCTAATTTAAAATCAATTGAAAAATTTATATTATTATTATTAAGAACTTGTTGAAAATTTTTCATAAGTTCATGTCGAAATTCACTATTAAATGGTCCAAAATAATTAATTGCAGCAGCTGATAATAATGCATTACCAATTAATGAACGTACATGTTGTTCAAGTTGTGTTAATTGTTCTTGCCAACGAACTTTTTCAATAGCTAAAACATTTGTTAATTCATGTGCACGTGCCATACGTTGTTTCATTAATTCACGTCGTGCATATAATGCTTGTTTTTCATCAATACTATTTCGATATTTATCTTCTAATTCTTGTAAATGATCTTTTACCTTTTTATTTTTAATGAAAAAAAACAAAAACAAAATTTGTTTTTCAAAATCTTTTATATGAACAATCTATTTTACATACAAGTTTAAGCATTTCTTGTTTTCGATTTAAACTTTTACGCATAACATCTAATGCTTCATTAGCTGTTTTTAATTTTTCTTCTTTTGGTTTAACTGTTCGATAGACTTCATAATAACGTTGAATAGCAAGAACCCATTTACAAAATGATCGACATGCTGATGAAACTTTACCAATAAGTTCAGGTGTAAATTGTGGATGACGTGAATATTGTAATAATTTTCGATATGTTCGATCAGATATATGATTTATGTCAAGATTAGTTAAACGACTAATAAAACCTGAATCTCCAAGTACTTGTCGAGCTGTTGCCCAATCAGGTTTACTTTGTAAAAGAACACAAACAGCACACATAACCATCATAACTTGATATGGTGGACTTTGATAAACTCGAACTTCTGCTACATCAGCTTTATCAAGTTGTGATACATCAGCCATAGCTTCATCTAATACAGGTATAACATTTTTAAGATCAAGTTCAGCTTGTGTAGCGTATCGTTCAACCATATTTGTATCTTCACGAACTTTTTGCTCTTCAATTTCAACAATTTCTTTTACTTCAAGTACAGCTATTTGATCTTTTTGTAATTGATTTAATAATTGTTCAATTTCCTTCATTTAACAAACAAAAACAAACAAAATCAATCATTATTATTTGCTTTTATTTCTCATACTTTTTCTTTAGCATCAATTTGTGGTCCAAGTACAGCAAGTTCATCACGCATAATGCTTACACTAGCATTTGCATCAGATAATTTTGCAAGACCTGATGATAATCGATTATAACTTGTCTAAATAATAATAAAAACCAAAAGAAAAAAACATTTTTCAATAATTAAATTAAATTATTTGAAAATTTTACAAGAAATTCTTGTTTTGTTTGTGTCATCATTATACCATAAGTTTTCATTAAATCCATATAAGATGATGGTGTTAAATAATAAATTCGTTTATGTGCAGCATAAAAACGTTTTGCTATTTCAATAACAATTTTATGTATAGAAACACAACAAAGTGCTAAACGATGACGAAAATCATTCTCATTATTAGTTTCATTATCTGATGATAAAATTCTAAAATAACAAAACAATATAACGAATTGTTATTCTTGATTTTTTTTTCTTACTTAAAATCAACTGTTTCAAGAAAAACATCAGCTACTTCACTCATTGATATTTCACTCCATTCTGTAAACCAATCAATACTTGTACAATTAAGTAAAGCAGGATGTAAACGACATATTTCACGAAATTTACTACCAGCTGGTGAAAATGAAAGAATTATATGAAGATTAGTTCGAACACGCTACAAAAAATAAAAATAAAAAACATTTTTTTTTTTTCTAAATCTATTTTAATTCTTTCATTTTACTTGATAAAAAAATTCATGAAGTTGACTCTGTGTATCACTCATACCAGATGAATATGCATCATTTTTAAGATCCATTGTAAGTGCATCAAATTCATCAGGTTCAAATAAATCAACCACAGTACCAGAATTAAGAATACTTTCAATATCTTCGATAAAACTATCCTATATTAGAATTATAAAGTAAATAGAAACTTCAAACAAATTAAAAAGAAATAAAGAAGATAAAACGAATGAGCAATAGCAAAATGTAGATGTAGATATATATGTAGATATAGATATAGCTTTTTATTACCTCTACTAAACTGAAATAATGTGAAGAATGATGAAAAACAAAAATTGTTAAATAAAAATAAAATAAATAAATACTTACGAATAATAAATCTTTTTCTTGAATGAATAAAGCTACTGGCCGATTTTGAAGTGTAACAAGTTTGAATACCTTAAAATAAATGTATTAAATATATAAATCTCGGAAATTAATTCTCAATAATTATTTATAATATTCATCTCAATCATTTGTTATGTGAAAAAATAAGACAAAATTTTCTGTAACTCATTGCTATTCTTATATAGATATGAACTATGAATGATATACAATAATCTTAAAAGTCTCGTCACTAGATAAAAAGTATCGAAATGTGAATCTTTTGATTTCATATTTTGGATCACAAATGGAGTTCAATGAATCTTGATCGACCTTCATGTAAAAGAGTTAGATGGCCAACAAAGAATTTTTGCTCAGACGAGGTTATTTCGGTATTAGTAACAAATCTCACAGCGTTTAACTCTTTATTGTCAAGAGCTCAGTGCTGCATCTATTATCAATAAAAACTTTCATGTCAAACGATTGTAGTTTGCCTGATTAATGAATTTATCTTTGAACATTCTCAGCGTAAGAGTTGATAAGATTCTTAGATATTCCTTGAAAATTTCATGATTATAACCATTGGTCGAATGAACTTCTATACAAAGGCCATCCTGGATAATGGAAATATCGCTGTGCTTCAGGATCACAGCAGATTGAAGTCTCCTATGTTATGACAATGTGAAGCTTTATTTGTTAACGAGAGGATAAATATTAACACTTCTAAATAATGGCGAACCAAAAAGCCTTTTTTTTTTGAGATCCAAGAAAAACAATAGTATTTTTATTCTAGATTCGATGTATTAAGGCAGATTAATATCAGGTTCCCTCCTTTTTATTTATCATACGTCGTTTATTTTTAAACAGATTATATATATATCGAGAAAATATAAAACACACTGTATCTTATGGTATACATTCACCTTACAGAATAAACATTATATCAGAAAAAGAAATGAGATTTTTTCCTACAATGTGCAATGTGAAAGAAGTAGATTTTTCCGTTTGATTTATTTTAAAGAAGAGTTTAATAGTATATATCATAAATTTGATATAACCTATCTAGAGTTGATGCATCTTATGAATTGATTCTAATGGTAAATTTATCAATTTTCTTTATCATTATCCAGATGTGATCGTACATTGTAGGAAAGAAGTTTTTTTGTTCTGATACAGATTTTATACAATAAACATTATTTGTTGTTCAAGATGAATATACCATTAAGATACAGAGCATTTCGTATTTTTTCCCTATATGTAATTTCTCATAAAGTTCTATATCTTTAGAATTTTAGAAGAAAAATGATTTAAAAAATATGAAAACACTGAACAAGACTTTCCAAAAAATACTGTCAAATTTTTGTTTTTTTGAATAACATTTCTTTATCAAATAATTTTTCTAAACATTATCGATCTACATATTGTAAAATTTGTTAACTTACAATTTTTAAATCATCTCTAAAATCTTGATATGAATATCCACGTTTTATATTTAATTGAAACATAAAATGACCAGAAATAAAAGCTGATAATTGTAAACATGTTTTTCTACCAGTACCATCAAGACCAACTAATAATAAATGTCCACCTGGTTGTTGTAAAACTCGACATATTCTTAAAACATGTTCAACAGCTTCTTTAAAAAATACCATATTAAGTGTTGAATGTTCACTTAAATTATGTCTCATTTGATAATCCAAAAAAATAGGACAACATTGATGCCAATCATGTAATTGTTGATATAAACGATCATCTGATTTTAAAAAATTACAATATAATAATGGATTATCAATATATTTTGATATATCTAATGATATTTTAAAATAACTTAACATTGTTGCATTTAAATGTTTATAAAAAATATTTAAATCATTTTCTGTTACTAAACGATCAGCAAATACACGTAAACATTCATGAGCAAATAATATAGCTAATGAATCTTGATTAGTTATATTTTTTGGTGATGCTTGCATAATACCTTGTGAAAGTTTAGCTAAATCTCTTAAATTAAATATATAATGAACTTTTGATGGTGTTGGAAGTATATTAATTGAAACACGATAATACATAACAAGACAAGCTGATACAAGTAAATAAAGTGATGAACGTACATCAACTGGAAAATCTAAACTATTTAAAAATCGACCAAGACGAACAGTATATATATGAAATAATTGTTTAGCTGCTGGATCAGGTAATGCAAATATTGAAAATGATTGAAGTAAACGTTTTGATGGTACACAACGACCTGATGATGGTGAATCACAAGCTGTTATAAATGTTAAATCAGATATTGGACGTATTTGATTTTTTTTTGCATCAATAGCTGATCCTAATAAATAAAAAAAAATTTGTTTTTTCTTTTGTTTCTGTTGCATTCATTATTTTGCTAAAAGACAAAAAAAAAATGAAACCTGTTTGTAAAATATATCGTAATGTTTCAAGTGTTGGTTGATCACCAAATGAATCAACTTGTGGAATATTTAAATCATCAATAAATACTAATAACCATTTGCCTGGTGGACAACCAAGTAGATTTGCATTTTTTTTTATTAAACCACTTGTTAATTGATTAACGAATTTATTTGGTGTTGTTTGAGCACTCATTTGTATTTTGAGAGATTGTAAAGCTAATTGATTAAATAGAAAACAAAAAGAATTGTTTATAAATGATTATATTAAGACGTTCATCTTTTAACATTTCTTTGAAATTTCTCTATCAAAAAAATTTTAATAATTATTAATCTATAATCGAAATGTTTTGAAATAAGTTTGTTAACGCTTAGTCTCTTTAGAACTAAAATGTAGAACTCATATGTATTCTTTAGTCTCAGCATAATATGTCAAGTGAAAAATTTCTAACGATAATCGTTCGCCAAGAAAATGATCTGTCTTATTTAGTTCAACATTTCGAACAGAAATTTTTCGTTTGCCTTATTATTTTTTATGAACATATTCCATTTTTATTGATTTAACTGGCAAATAAGCCTGTGGTACATATCCATTATATCTACAGCAGCTCCCAACACACTATCATATATCTCGAAAAGCTCATAAACACTGATATTGATTATATCTCAAAGTTATAACTTGATCATTTTACGCTTTTCATACTATGGCGAATCATTACATCACTACCCATCAGTCTTGATATCTTGAATATAATGTTTATCCGCGCAAAAATCAAAAACTGCACTATTTAGAACATTCACAAACATACTGCAAACATTCAAATTTCAAGAAAGACTTTGGAATGTTCTACAACAGTATAAGTCTTGTTGTTTATGTTATTCAGCGCCTTTTTCCATTGTTGAAGAACTTTGGAAAAGGAATCGGACGCCTGTTGTCCTCGGTTGCTATGGAAACATATCCAATCACTATTAGACTTTCTTCCTCAGTTACCTTTGAGGGGCACAAAACCTCCTCAACTCAAAACTTAAACTCACTACATTTTTCTTCGAATAACATAATGTGAATTCTACAAAAACATTTACTGTCAGATTCATTCGTGATAAAGTGATCTGTGATATTCAATGACTGGGAAACAATCGTTTTAATTCTTGTTATTATTTTTCGATCGAAATATTCGAACAGTATCTTATTTGTTGTTTAATGTTGCTGAGAAAAAGAAAATATCAAACAACAGATGTTTAAAGAGTTAAATGAAAGAAATATTCTTCTAATAAATTAAGTTGACTTTCGAGCGGATAAAAGCGTTATGTATAATATGGTTCATCTCGAAAGATTTGCACTTCTTCTACAGATTTATTTACTTAAAAAAATAAATAAGTCGTTAAAACTTTCACATAATATTCATCCATTTGAATATTAGAATTTCCTTTAGAACTATACTCGAACAATAATGCTCGTTCATACAACATAGATGAACAAAAAACAAAATTCAATTATGTTTCTCTTTTTTCTTATTTGTCTATTTTTCAAATATGAAAAAGAGAAATTATTATTAATTAATACAAATCTAAAAAAAAGCTATTATTTATTGAATTATCCTTTAATTCATATCATATATTGAATTTGTATACGAATAAAAGGATTTTTTTTATCCACAATAGATCACTTACTCTTTCGCTTCGAACGAAGCAAAATATTTCCTAAGAAATTATAAAATATTATTCGTATAAATCAAAGTCTCGAAAACAAAAAACAACAAGAAAAAACTTTTGTTTTTTATATTATACTTACCACCACCTTCTGTATTTTCAACAGGTAATTCTCCTATTTGTGCTAATTTAGTTGTTGTTGAAGTTTTCGTAGCATTATATTCTAAGATATCACCTAAAATTGTACCTGGACGAACAAAATTTCCATTCGGTAATGTTAATGAACGAAGCATTGCTTCAATAAGTAAAGTTTTTCCAACACCACTATTACCTTTAAAAGATTATAATTAAGAAAAAATAAAGAATCTATGCAAATTAAAAATCTTTACCAGTTAAAAGAACTGGTTTTTTATGTATAAGTAAAGCTGTTATTAAAAATGAATAACGAATAATATCAACAGTTGGTATAACATATTGTAAATTTTCATTTTTAATTAATTGTTCACTTTTAGGTACAAGTGATTCCCATTCATGATAAACAAATGTATTTAAATCTATCATATAATCAAATATCATACGTGCATCAGGTGGTAAATAAACTGAATAATTTATATTAGAAGAAAATAATTCACTAGATAATAATTATTTAAATGAACAAAAAAAAAAAAAAAAGAATTAATAAAATAAATATAGAAATTTTACCGAACAAATGTATCAAATTCTTGTGTTGTTGGATCACGATCAATTTTAACTTGTTCTTTTTGATTTATTAAATTATCATCTTCAAAATTATCTTCTCGCTAATATAAGATAAAAAAAACAAGAATTATTCATATTGACGAAAAAGAAAAAAAAACATAACATTCAATCTTACTTTTAATCCACCACCAAAACTCCAAACATAACAAAATATATAAATACGTATAAAACATTGTCGAAGATTTTTAGGATTTTTTTGTAAATAATATTGTTTTTTATCATTGAGTATATAAACAACTAATTCGTCACTATCAAAAAAAAAAGAAAACAATCGAATTCATATCTCTCCGATTTTTCGACTTCAATATCATACTTTGGCGTATAATATTTCGAGCCAGATGTTGTTTGTGGATTGTCTAAAAGAAGAATAGAAAATTTTTTAAATTTTTCAAATAAACAATGAAATCTAAAATATTTTTTTGTTTACTATTATCAGTATTTTATTTGCTTAGAAAAGATATCAATGTCACATTCGAATTAATCTGTTTACTTCCTTGCTTCTATTTGAATATCACATTAAACTTATATGGATATTTACAAAGTTAAATATATGTTTAATATCTTTTCTTGACAAAAAAAAAGCATAATAGTTGATCTTTTCTATTTGTTCGATATAAAAGAAAACATCATACTTGTTGCTGGTGCCGTTAGTCGTTGATCATCTTCACCAAAACCTCCATGTTTATCCAAATAATTTAAAAATGTTGATAATAAATAACAAAGTGTTTGTAAAACATTTACTTTTGATGCTGGCATATGCCATGGATCTTTCAATTCATTAAGAAAAGCAAATCCTATAGACAAGAAAAAAAAAGAAAGAATTCATCATTCATAAAAATGAAAATTATTATGAAAACCTTTATCTAATGAAAAATCCATTAATTCTCGAAGAAATTCATTTGCACTCTGTGGTAATGCAGTAGGTAATTTACATCGATACCAATGATTTAAAAAAGGTTTATATCCAAGATCTACTGGATCTAAATAAACCATCGCACAACGACTAACAGTAGCTGGTGATGCATTTACTAATGAATCAACTTCAAATAAAATTCGTGTATGTCCCGACATTCCAATACGTTCACCATTAGCCAAACAAAGTATTTTTGAATCATCAAGAAGCTATAGATTATATATAGGCTCATTTTTTTTCTCTTTTCTTTTTTGATATTCTTTTAACTTACTGTATTTAAATTTTCAACCCATAAAGTATCAATTGGACCATCAAGAATTAACCATTGCCAATGATCAGTATGATGTTCAGTCTATAAATAATAATAATAATAATAATAATACGACTAACATAATTAATTCATTTATAATATTACCTTCTCCATAGTCATTTGGGATTCTTGAGTTTTTGAAAATGATCGCATAACAGTAGCAAGCTAAGCACAAAAAAATCATTAGAGCTTCTAGTATAAGCTATGATATACATATATATTCTAACAGTATTAGCTTCAACGGTCGCATATACACTATACTAGTATAGTTTTATGGCAATTTGCGAAAGTTCATCCTGCTGTCGCCAACACAACTCCTGGAATTTCGTCTATTGATACACGATATTATCTCTCGAAATGCAATTTGCTGACCAAAACGCTATAACTATAATGTGATCTAAATGCACTGTACTCCATCTTGCTGAACGGAGAATTCTCAAACTATAATTTGATCTAAATGAATGATACTGATAAGTATTTTTTAACGAAAATAAATATCGCTAAGCAATATAGAGTGTATCCACTATTCAAAAAAATAAGATATTTTATGAGGACTAATAAAAAGAAAAAGTTTGACCTAAAAACATATCTTACCATTCCATCAGAAAATTCTAATGTATCAGAATTAATTGCTCCATAAAGTTCCGTTATTTGCATTGATTTTGGATTTAAAACTGTTACATCAACAGTTGCTGATCGACTTGTTCGACTCTATATTATAAAATATTAAATTTCGAATAATTCTAATTTTACTTTTTTTTTTTTTTTCTTAACACATACTTGTGCTCCTTCTTTTGCTATATGAGATAAAAGTGTTAATGCTTTTTGAAGAATATTTCGTACAACAGTTTTGCCACCGCCAGCTCCACCAACTAACATTGTACCATGTCGAAGAACAATTTGATTATAAAGTTGTAATGCTTTATCAGCTTGTGTAGGCCAATATTCATAATTTAAATCTTTAATAGCACGTCGTATAGCTTGTTGAATATTTCCATGTTCATGTAAATTTTTATCAGCTTGAGGAAAAAGATCACGTAGAATACCAAGAAAAAGAATTGAATCTTCTTTAAGTAATTTTGGAAGATTTGATTCAACTAATGCTTGTAACATTATACCTTCCTAAATTAAATTATAAAAATAAAAATTTATTAATATTTAAAAAAAAAAGAAGACAAAAATATACTTCTGATTGTTCATCAGTTAAATTTGGATCTTTAATATATGATCGTTTTATTTCACCAGCCATTAAAAGAACAGCTTTAATAGCTCGCATACCAAAATCATAATGATCTTGTTGAGATAATTGACTATTTGATAAATTATATAAATAAACAATTTTTGTTGCAAGAACTTTTGCTGATGTAAAACCAACAGAAAAAAGAATGACTAAATAAAATATTAAAAATATTCTTTATTTTATTTCATTTTTTTTTGTTTGTTCTGTTCAAATTACCTTCACCAATTAGTGCATAATATGGTATCATCATAGCAATAGGTCGAAACATAGGTTTTAAATTATCAGGTAATTCAAAACGACCAGAATAAGTTGGATTCCTAAAGAATAAAATCATATAAAAGAAAAAAGTTTTATTTTACAATATTTTCGTATATTTACATAGTAACAAAAAAACCACAAGTTAAATTCATCTTAATTTCACGACCATCAAATGTAAATCTAAATAAATTGAATATTAAAAATAATTTTTATTTTTTTTTTATTTTAAGAGTTTTAAACAAACCGTTGAGCATGTGCATCTTTCGCTGTTTTAATTGTTAATAATTGTTGTGCAACAACAGATAATACTTCAACATCAATACGATTAAATCTTAATACAAAATCAATAATAATACACAAAACATACTAAAGAATAACTCACTCATCAAAACAACACCATGATCCTAAATAAAAAATTAAAAAAGTAAAAAATGTAATAAAACGACAGGAAAAAATTCAAGAAAAATAAACAAACCTGATTGCGCCAATCCACTAAACATTTTCCCAAGTGTCTATACATGATCATTTTTTCTGAAATATTATTCGAAACAAAAAGAATAGTTTTACCTTATGATCAAGTTCATCAGAACAATTAAATACTAAACAAAGTTTTCCAAATGATTTTGATAAATCTTTAACTGTTTCCGTTTTTCCTGTTCCAGCCGGACCTAAATAGAATGAATTTAATTTATCATAGATATAAAATATAGTTTTCTTTTTTTTTTGTCTACCTGATGGTGCACCACCAAGATTAAGTTTAATTGCACCAGTTAATGTTAAATAACATCTTTCCAAAAAAAAAAAAAGAATAATCAGTTTGAATAAAAGAATAGCAAAAATAAATATTCAAACCTGTCAGTAAGTGGTGTAATAACTAATCGACTTGAACATCCAAGATATTCATAACCATAAAGAAAACTTGCATCACCTTGAAGTATTTGAAAATTTGTTTCTTTATCATTCCAATCATATCGAAGATGTTTTTGCCATTCAAAATCATTTTTATCTCGAATCTATTTATAAAAAAATAAAATTTTCTTATTAATATATACTTTATCTTACATGAAGTTTTATAAGCATTTCAAATATATCACGCCAATGAACTTGTAATGTTAATAATGCTTCGACAGTTAATAATTTTGATTGTTCAACATTAGAATATACTAATGAACATACATTATTAATTGTTGTTATCATTTGATCACGTATTTGAATGAGTGAAGAATCACTTTCCATTGATTGTAAATCAAATTTTTCATTTACTTGTCGTGTATATACTACTTGAGAAATAGTTAAAACAACTTGACCTGGATGTTGAAGAATCCAATTAATATAATCTGTATTTTTTATATCAGATAAACCTAACTATAAAGTAAAAACACGAAAAAAAAACAAACATAAGTATGTTAAGTTTTAAACTAACTTTAAGATGATGTTTAACAGCATCATACATAGCTTGTTCAACTGAAGTTAACCATTGTTCAACCATACCTCTTGGACGAACCGTTTTTGGAAAATTTACAATTTCACCTATAAAATTAAACTATAGTATTGATCAAAAAATGTAAGATCAATATATTTTCTACAAGATAAACGATTTCACTTAAATCGAAATAGTGATTTGAGTGAAATATTTAATATTGTAGAAAACACATTGCTCTTATATTTTTGACTGAAAAAAATTCTTTTTTTTTAAATTCTTTTATTTATTACCTTCTACTGATTGCATACTTGTAACAACTTCCATTGGTGATTTAGCAATATGAAGATGAAAAATATTAGCAAAACATTTACGTAAATGTGGCTAAAATATTGTAAAAGAATTTTTCATTTTTTTTTTTGATAGATTATTAAAATATAAATGAACATACTTGTACACAATTTGCATCTTTTGAATGCGAGAGAATATCTAATAAATCTTCATTACTAAGAAAAAAGAGACGAGGAAAAGCTAAGCGTTTTGTTTCCAAATAATCCTAAAGAAAAAAAAAATAATGAGATTTATGATTAAACATCAAAGAGAAAAAAATATAATAAATCCTATGATAAGTTCATGCTTTTGATATTTAGTCAAATAAATAGACTCAAGTGAAAATTAATATATGATAAGTTTAAAGTTTATAACTGAATTCTTAACTCAACAGATCATTATTATGCATCGCTCGCACATTAATCATATAATCTGTTAAACTCTGTTGCGAAGAATGTACATTAAATGCTGAAAAGTTTTTAGAGAAGGGATTTAATCGTTGACAGACTTGTTCTTTCTAACGAAATGTCAATTCAAAGAAGTAACTTATCTTGCATAATACCCTATCGTATAATTAATCACATGAATTAGAATTCGAAAATTACGATCAAAAAAATTTATCAACTAAGAAAAATTACTCATCGTCACTAGAAACAAAAAAATTTCACTCTAAACTTACTTCTAATGCTCGTTGAATTTTTTCCATTTGTGCATTATTTGTTTGTAATAATTCTAATGTACCTGGTTGTGTTGCTGCTTTAAGTGCATTTGGTTGTTGTTCAGTTTTACGCATTAATTCTTTCCATGTTTTATCAATTTGTGTAAAAATTTTTGTTTCTTGTGTTAATTGTATATCAGGTGTAGAAAATATTTGTTCTAAATAAAGCCAACGTCTTTGACATGTTATCCATTCATCAATTGTTTTTGATAATAAAATTAAACGTTTATCCCATTCATCAACTAATTGTCGAATTGGATTTATATATCTTGAAGATTTTATTGTTGACATTGTTATCTATTAATAAATTGAAATGTTTTCCATCAGAACAAAAAAAATAAAAAATAAAATCATTTTACTTGACTTTCTTCTAATTGTTGTAAAATTTCTTCAAAACCAGTTATTATAAATGTATCTTTACCTGTATGAGGTAATACACGAAAATCTAATGATCTCCATCTACAAAAGCCAAAGAAGAAGAAGAAGAAGAAGAACGAAGTTATATCCAATAGTTTTTTTTTTGTGTTTGATAAATTTACCTTTCAATAATTCTATTTAACATTGTTTCTAATGATGCTTCATTTGATGCTAATGATGATACATCAGTTATTTTATCTGTTAATTGTAATATTTCAGGTTTAAGTAATTTATTTAATTTTAAACTTTCATCATCAATAACATCTTTTCCAATTAATACACGTAAACGATCAAAATGTCTTTGTTTCATATGTGGATTACGTAATGCTAATATAACAGGCATAGCTGCTTTAAATTCAACAATACGTTCTTTTAATGATGGTATAATATTATTAGGTGGTAAAGCTTTTTCAAGCATATAAATATTTTGTGTAAATTTATTAACATCTTTTTGTAAAAGATCAATATCAATAGCATCAAGAACAGTATTTGTCCATTCACGATAAAGTTTAGTCCATTTTTGTTGAGATTCCCATAAGAGTTTACGTAAATTAATATCTTGTTCAATATCATTTATTTCACTTTGAACAGTTTGAAGACTAACTGTAACATTATAACGATGATATTTATTTTTTAATTGATAATCACTATATAAGAAAATAAAAATTATTGCATAAATTTTATTTATATAATTATAGAAATTTACGCTAAAACACGTTTTTTTGTTGATTGTTTACTAATTTGATTAAAACGTTCTTGAAAAGCTGTATAATTTTTTGCTTTTTCATTTATTTTCGATAATGTTTCTTGTAAAATTGCAATAATATCTAATGCTGTTTCAGTACGAGTTTCATTTGTTAATAAAGCTGAATCTTTTGATTTAGCTTTAAGATCAAGTGTTTGATCATATAAACGTTGTATCATATCATCAAGTTCAACAGTAAATTTTTGTACATTTTCATCACATTGAGCTTCTGTATAAAGTAAACTTGACTAAAATTTAATAAAATAATTCAAAAAAAGAAGAAAAATAAAACACAAAATATATTAATTATTCTTACTTTTAATTGATGATAAATCGGTGCTAAAGAACGATATAAAGCATATGCTTCAGGTGCAATATTTATTGAAAAATCTTTAATAATATGAAACATTTTTGATATTGTGTCAAATTCAACTTCTAAATTTCCTAAATCACTATTAACTTTATTTAATGTTGCTATATGTTGAACAAAATCTTCAACTGATCTTGGATCACGATCTAATAATTTCAATACTTCCTAAAAAAAAACATTAAAAGTTTTTAATAAAGAAAACAAATTTTTTTTTTCGATTTACTCGAATTGTTTTTTGCATTCGTTCATTTTTATCAATAGCAACAGGTGGTAAATATGTTCCAATAGCTTCAATTATATGTTGAGGATAAGGTACTGTTGCATCATGAAATTGTTGTGCTTTTAGTAAAATAAGTCCAACACGTTGTTGAACAATCATGTGTTCTATTTTAACTAATTGTTGTGTATGTTTAGCCATTAGAAATTGTAAATCATCTGTTGTTAAATCTTTTCGTTTAAGACTTTCATCAATATTTAATTGAATACAACTAAGAACCATATCACAATATTTTTGATATCGCTAAAAGCAAAAATCAAAAAATAAATATATTTGATTATTTATTGTATAACTAATCAAAAAAAAGTTTTTTTTTTTCTTCGTACTTTAACAAAAATTTGAACATCAGATAAAGCTCGATTAACTGTATGTAATGTATCAAGAATAATTTCTTGATGATCAACATCATCACCAAAAAGAAAATCAACATCTGGCCAACGAATTTCTGATACATGAATTGGTGTTCGAGCTTTTGGATTTGATGGATCATAATTTGGATAACTAGAAAATAATCTTAATGTTGGATGATCACAAAGACTAGATATTTGACCTTGAATATAATCAAATAAAAAAGTATTTTTTCCAATTGGAAAAAAGAAAAATTTTTATCAAATTTTTACCAACAGATGTTTCTAATCCATTAATTATATCACGTGTAGCATTTTTAAAATCGTATTCATTTGGACTTATGTCATAAGTTACTTTAGTTATATTTTCAAATGAACTAATATATTCAATGAATGATTTATAGATTTCATTTTCATAATAAAATAACAAACCTTTCAGATTTTGTCATATCATCAATACCTGGTGTTTTCTTTCTGGGTATATTAGTTATTATAAGTAACAAATTGATTTCAAACATAGGTCGAGGTATTCGACCAGTAGTTTCAATCTATGAATTATATAAAAGATTAACTTATAACGTGAAAGTCTTGACAGAAAATATTCGCTCATTTTTCGAGTAATTAAAGGACAACTGGCTAGAACCAGAAATAGTAAGTCTTAAAATTGAGTCACTTTTTGATGGCTCGGCTCGACATGATCCAACTCAGAATGACACTATTAAAAATATATTTCTTTCACGAAAAGGATTTCTACGAAATGCAACTAAATAATCAGTGTAGTTCATTTATTAGAACATTGTAAAGAATTTATCATCATAGTGATCATGAGTTGAACAATTTTTATATTTGAGAAAAAAACAGCATGAGAGATAAATTGAATTACTTAGTAAACCGGAAGAGCGAGATGCATTCGTGAATATTCTAACTTCTGGAAAACTATCTTTTATTAACATAAGCATTCAAGAGTCAGATCGGTTACTATTTTTAGTTACATTACTACACTTCAGAAACACTCAGACCACTTAATCCAGTTGATAGTACACTCGGCCTTGTGTGTAGATGAGGAATGTTATTGGAGCAAATAAATGCTCTGCTTTTTATTTATTGGTTAAATGAAACTTCCAAAATATTCACATGATGACAACTCTTGATTGTTATCAGGTGTGACGTGCAAATTGCATGTAAGAAATTTTGACAAAATATCAGATATTTTGTTTTCTTATGGCAAAAGTCTTCCTTGAAAAAGAAATAAAGTTCGACCCGGGCAGCTCATTTCTAGCTCTGAGAAAGACTTAGTTAGAAACAGGATTTTCGCTACTTCCAAATGTATGTTCAGATTTTTCTTTTGAAATAAGATTGAACAATCATCAGTCAATTTTGTGAAAAAGTCCAAAACTATGTCTGTACAAAGCAAAATAGCCGTTTTGTCGCAGTCCTTAGCTTGTGTTTTGAAACAGATTCAATTAAACATTATTGTACACATTGAATTACATATAACAATAAGCGAAATCTTATCTATGCGCTTTCACTAAAGAGCTAATTTCTCTGAAAATCGGGAATCGCTGTTTCAAAAACTGCTTTTAAAACTGCAAAACTTTGAAAACCTGTCATACAAAAGTAAATAGAAAACTTTGCATCTACAACACTGGCGAGGGAAGTCTCCTAAATTGATTAATCACTTTTCAGTTTGGACTATGTACATCATGTAGACTCTGATAGGCCATGAATATTGAGAAAAGAGTTCGAACTCATAGCTTGTTGCTATCGGCATGTTGTATTTTTACGGTATCTTTCAATACCATGAGAGGAACATCAGAAAGATTGATGTTCGAATTTTGATTTGAAACTTTGCATGGAAACAAGCCTTACCGAGAATAGTTTATTGTGGAAGTTTCAAAAAAATTTCCTTATTCCTATCTCAAGATACAACATTGATAAATGCGTGTATTTACATCGCTCATATACACCCACAGATTCGATGTTCTTTATTTCAGGACAGGAAGAAATGAAATGTCCTTATAATATCACGATTAACTATTCGCGTTAAGGATTGTTTCTATGCAAAGTTTTACGTTAAAATTAGAAAAGTAGTTTTGCTGATGTTTCTGAGAGGACCATGACATTGTATTGGAAAATATTGCAAAAAAGCGATATGTCGACAGCAATAACCTATAGATTCGAATTCTTTTCCGGGCATTCATAACCCATTAGAGTCTACATGATGCACAGTCTCAACTTAAAATCAATTCATCAGCTGGAAAGTTCAACCATGAGCCATTAAAAAACTGTTTCGCATTTTTGAATTCGATAAACTTCAATCGAAATAAACAATTGAATAAAATAGTAATTATTTTGTTTAACTATTATTGTGAATCTTTTGAAATAATCTGATAACATTTATCCAATCTTATCTCATAAGGGAATTTTAAACACATATTAGGAAAGAGTGAAAACGTCTGATTCGAACCGAAATGGAAAAAAGAATGAATATTTTATTCCAAGACTTTCGTGTCATATGATCATTTTCTGTTCCTTGTCAAATCATACTCGTGGTAAATCAAGAATATCATTTGGTTCAATTGTTGAAAATAAATCATCTTCTTCATTATCTATATTTCTCATTCCTGGTTCAATAGTTGGTGTCTGTGTTTCAGATGTTCGTGCTGATAATTTACTTGGACGTCCTGTTGATTCTTTAATATTTGATCTTTTAAAAACAAAAAATCAATGATAAACAAAACAAAAATTAATAGAAAATTTTTTTTTTAATCATATATCTTACAATTCCGAATTAAGATTTGTTCGAATTGTTTGATAAGTTGTATATGATTCTGATCGATGTTGTTGTTTAGTTCGAAAACTTCTCGTTGATGATACAGCTGATTTTTGACGTGCTGGCTTAAATTGAATATCATCTTCCTCGTCATTTTCTGCTTGATTAGCAAGTTCAAATTCAACACAATATGATTCACGTAAATGAATAAGTAAATCTCGTACAGCTGATTTAACAAGACGACGAAGAAGTTCAAGAATAATATAATCCAATAAACGTAAAAATTCTGTTAAACGTACTAATGTATCACGCCAATGCTTACGTATCGCAAAACTTGGACCAGCATCTAAAATATTAAATAAATTTTTTTTTTATTCAAAATAAAAATTTTGTTCTTCAAAAACATTTACTTCGTTTAGTTTTTACTCTTATATTGACATCACGTAAAATTGATGTTCGATTTTGTTTTGATTCAAGAAAAGTTTGTGTTGCTTGTTCAGCTTCTTCTTCTTCTTTGGGTCGACGATAAAGACTTGGATCAGCTAAGGCTTCCATAGGTATACCTTCTAATTCAACAGCTTTCTAATTAAAAACAGAAGTAAATTTAGTTAGACTTTTTCTTTTAGAAAATTGTTTTGTATAATATAATGTAGTGGAAAAAACTTTAACAACAACGTATGTTTTTTCTATTATGCTAAACAAACAACTCAAATCCAGATAGTAATTTTAATAGTCAATGGAGCTTTTGTCTAACCAAGATTTCTAAAAAAAACGGACAAGATAATTTTCAGATCCGATAAGACTTTGTCGGAGTTATTTTTTAACAATGCCATTTTAACGAGAACAATATGAGAGATTGCCTCAGTTTCTACGATCTTCCCTTAAAAAATTGAAAGTATCAAAACATCGATTAAGCATAGGAATGCACCAACTCAGTGGCAGATTTAGATGGTAGTGTTAGGACGATCGCACCTTTCTTCCGAAATATTTTTCGACTTTTTTCTTGACAGAAAACACCCAAAAATGGGCCGATACGGCGTCTAATGAGCTTCAAACCATGTTTTGTGACTATGGTCATCGCCTTGCCCGAAATCTGCGACTGCATCGATTCCTAGAACATTATGTCAAAGATGACACATTAATGTATAGTTTCTGTGGATTGTTTACATCAATCATGATCAGGTTTTTTGCTCTCTATCTGAGACTTCAATCGAAATTCTTGAACTACAAAGTGCAATTCTCGAAACTGGTCGAAAAATCATATTTCTTAGTTTTTTCTGAACAATTCCAACTGATTTTGAGGCCGATGTTTTGCATTAGAAAAAATCTAAGAATAGCTTCGAAAAGAGCGTCTAAAATTGATCACAACTGGCATGAAGAGTCGTTCGGAGTTCAGTATTTTGTCAATACTGGAAATATTCTAAACTCCGATTAGAAATTCAAGTAATCGGTTTATTTTGGCTAGCAACAACACATGAACAGTATTGAGAACTACTAAACTCCAAGCGATTCTTCATGCCAGATATGATTAGTTTTGAATACTCTTTCCGAAACTATCGTTAGGCTTTGTCTAATGCAAAACACAAGTCTCAAAATCAATTGGAATTGATCAAAAAAACTAAAAAAATGCGGATTTTCGACGAATTCCGAAACCTTTGTTTTGTATTTCATGAAGTTCGACTACAGCTTCCGACAAAGGGAAAACAGCGATCATGGTTGATATAAAGAGTACACAGAAACTACATTCTTAATAAGGAAAAAAATGTCACCTGTAACAAAACGCTTCTTGTTGGTTTTTGTGATACTTTTAACTGTTTAAAGAAAGGTTGTAGAAATTGTGGCAACCCCTTATTTTGTTCTCTTTAAAATGACATTGTTAAAAAAAATAGCTTCGATAAAGTCTTATAGGATCTGAAAGCTACTCCAGTCCGCCTTTTTTTAGACATCTTGCCATCATAGTCCATCTACGAAATCTTGATAAACGAAAATTCCATTGACTATCAATAATTGTTATCTGAATTTGAGCTAATTGCTTAACAATATAGGAAAAACAAATCCGTTGCTGTTAAACGTTTTTTTTTCCATCAACTTACTTGACAAGCATCAGCTGCTAGAACTGCAACTTGATCAAGAAATTTTGTTAATTTAATAACTGTTGTATTCATTTGAAGAAATTGTCGTCGACTAAATTCTTGAAGTGTTAATGTTTCTTGATATGCATGACGATCAAGTAAACAAAATGGTTGTACATAATTTGCTTGTCCATAATAATAAACTTCACACATAGCTTTAACATGTATAAAAACACCTTGAAGAATTTCATTGGCATAAAAAAGTTTTCGATAAAGAACAGCACTAGATAATGATAAAAAAAAAGAAAACAAGATAAAAAGTAAATTGAGATATCATAAGAATTTATACAGTGTTTGTTGACGTTTTTCTTCTTGAACATTAGCCCACCAACACCGAAATGTTCGCCATTTTCTTAAATATAAATTTTTTTCAATAGAAAAGTTTCATAAAAAGAAAAAAAAACAAAGCAAACCGAAAATTGACAAAACATGAGAAATGACTAATTAAATAATTATATTTATATCGTTCCCATAGCCAAAGTAAAGCTGGAGTAATAGTTGTCTCAGATTGATCTAATTGATTAACCTATCAAGATAAAAAAAAACAATCTTCTTTATTTAATAAAATAGAATTCTATTAATATTATACGTGTGTTATATTAAATGCAGACATTGTCCAATAAGATGATGATGCCAGTGCTTCAACTCCATTAGGTTGTATTTCTAATTCATATGGATTATAAGGTGAATAATGTTTATGACGACCAGTTAATAAACAATAATAGAAGATACTATTTGCATCTGCATGTGAAGACTTCAACAACAAAAAAAAACAACATAGGATTCTTTTGTTTTCGTCAGATAGATTTTTATTAAATCAAATTACTTGTTCATTTTCAGCTTTTTTAAGATGTCGTTCAAGAGCTTGTTTACCATCTGGTCCATGAATAGGTAATTGTGTTGGAAGACCAAGTTTTCTACGTAATCGTATTAATTGATATGCAGCATCATTTAGATTTTTTTCTGCTTCAAATTTTAACCAAACTGTTCGTGATGTTTCATTATCATTTAATGATGATTGTATTTGTGTACTTTCTTGTTCTAATCGCCCACCAAGTTTTTTCGATGTTAAACGTTCATTTTGCCATCTTTCTAACCTAAACATATATATAGCTTATTTTATATGAATATTTCAATATTGAAATTATATTACGATCTTAGACGAAAAGGTAATTCCTCATAAGATTCATTACGTGATATTGTACGTCCTAAATGTTTTCCTGAAACTTTACTTGATGATATTCCTTCAGTCTAAATTAATCAATAACTAGAATGAATTATAAACATATAAAATAATTTACATCTTGAGCTATATGTTCTGCATATGCTGTAGCATCACAAGTTTCGAATGTGCCTTGAAAAGATTCACGAAATTCATTTAATTTTTGAGGTGCAATTGTTATATCAAGCATTTTCCGTTTTTTCGAAGACATGGTTTCTTTAATTTCTATTTTAATAAATACACGTGGTACTTTTCAGAAATATGTACGTAGAAAAAGTTGCCATTTACACTTGATTCAAAAAGAATGTCGCCTAGCAATGTTAAACATTATCAATAAAAGAGGTCACTATTTTCTATTATCGTTTGTAGCAAAAAAGAAGTAAATTAAAAAATTTAGTACTAGGAAATTGTAATATAATGTAATTACGATAGGTTATTAGCATTCGAAATACGAGGAATTAAATTCTATGATACTCTCACATTCTCATACCGTTTCTCTATGTGGTATCGTGATATTTATAGTTTCTTGTTGTATGCTGAGTATTCTTTGTAGTTCAAATTTTTATACTATAAACCGAGATTTTCTTTTCTATCATGTTTTCCAATCGTACGAATGTTTCCTTTATTTCAATTCTATATGAATAAGTAATGAGAAAACCAAAACAAGTTATTTCTAGTCAATTAAAAGCTACTATCCATATTACTTCAGCATTCACTGAACAACTAGGATGTAGGTATCTTTTCTTTGCTACACGCACATCATATCTACATCCACACCGTTATGTCTAACTTAAGAATAATACCGAAAAATAATTTCTCTATCTAGTCATTAACATGATTATCTTGCTTTTCATATCATTCACAAGTTAGAAAGGACAAATATACTCCTTGCACTATTTTTTCTTTTATTATATTGTGTTTCTGTAAACAATTGATATGCATAATTTTTATGTAATAGTGGAACAACTATCTTTGAAGATGAAACACCATTTGAATTAAATAGAATAATTAAGTTGACAAAAAGTGATAAACGAGTATTGAATTATTGCAAACTTATTATTTGTGATCGTTTTGCGTAATTACCATTATTATACTTTCCTGGGTCAAGAAAGCGCGAGACAGGATGGGACGACATCTTGAACGTCCCATGGAGCTCTGGATCGACGTATATATTTATATATATATATATACATGTTGATAAAAGCATCACAGACAAAACAAAACATGTATCACACTGATACTCATCTACTTGAGTTATTCAATGATATATTAATGATTTTTTTGAAGAAACTGGACAAAATGACTGTTCTCTATTCATTAATTGGTATTGGTATTGAACGACTTGATCGTCTAGCACAAGATAAAACTTTCACTAACACTCGATTTTGTTTCGAGCAATAATGATAATATTTGTTCAATTAATGATTCAATGCTTGATCGATTTCGTATTGACATATTACCTCGAATTCAATACAATGTTCAATGTCTTATTTTTAAATCAATAATCATCGAACATATTCTGTTTGCTACTGATTATCTTAACCTTACTACACTCAAAATCTTCAAATTCAATGCAAATATTGTTTCACGTTATTTAACAAGTAATTAATTCATATTCTGATGTATTCAATGATTCAGTCAGTTTTGAAAGAGACTATTGCAAAGAGGAGAATAATATATCTTATTTACTTCTTCTTCTTTAGATGAGACATCCTTTAGAAATATTTTCAAATGACAAATTACGGATCGTACTCTTATATGTGATGACAATTATGACCATATACAAACAAAGGATTATCTAGCAAATATATATGCATATATCTTGAGTTTCTTCAAGAATCTGAAGGATTTAAGTATTGTTTTATCATTCACTGGAATATATCGAAGTTTGGTACTTCGTGATTCACCATCAACTACTTTTTCTTCTTCAACTCTAATCAAATTATGTATTGGAGTAGATGATGTTGACGATTGTCTTTGTTTACTTGATGGTCGTCTCGAACAATTGTCTACTCTAATTGTTGATATTTATCGTATGAAGAAACATTCATCAATGGTGCTCAACTTGGTATATCTATATGATAGTTCATGAATTATTCAAAATAAAATTGTATCTATTTCTTAGATAAATTTTTCCGATAATAACAAGATTTATTTTTAAAAGTAGTTTTTTGTATATATGATGTGAATAACCATGTATCTTTGATAGAATCAACTATTAGACATAGAAGAGTGTTTCTCATTTTAATTATATGTAAAATGATGAGTTTAGCTTGAAATATTGATAAAATTTTTGATTTATATTATTCTTTTTTTTTTTTCAATTATTTTCTCCATATTTATTGTCTCTTAATGTACTGAAACTTGACATATTTGTATCACTCATTGTTTAGAAGTTGTATTGCATAGAGTAAAGAAAAAATTAACCAAAGAATTCAAAAAATATTGCTTAGTTTTTGATTGTATACGTTTTTTTTTTATTAAATTGATAAAAATCTATTGCTTTGTATTTTATAGAATGATCTACCTAATTTGAAATATTTCTCATTGGCAATCAGGGATTTAACTTATCAATACAACACTAAAATTATATCACTTCTTCGTTGCATGTGTAATCTCGAAGAATTAACTTTATACCTTTCTATAAGCGATCAAATTCGATTTGTCGATAATACTCAAATTCATAATGAAGTTCTTATTTATATGCCACAACTTTTTAAATTCATTTTTTATATCAATACTCGAATTGAGAGCGATCTTTCAATTCCTTATTTGTCAAATAATGATATTTGACAAACTTTTACTAATATAGAATGCGAACAAATGAGTTGTTTTGCAGAGTATTTAAGCACTGAATGCGCCCGTCGTCATGTCTTCTCACTTCCATTTGCATTTGATCATTTTGGATCGATTGACAATAACTTTCTAAATACTATATATACAATAATGCTATTTTCTTAATGGTACGGAACTGAGTTCTGTTGAAGCACGAATTTTTTGCTCGGATTGTTCGGTATTTTCCATTGTTGAAATTTTTAGTTTTTGGACATTTTGGATATAGACTATTAGATCTTCATCAAGACAAATTTGATAATAATGAATCATATTCAATTGTGGAATATCCTTGTATTACGCCACTTAACATTAAATGTGCACATATTTATTATTGTATTAAACAGTTTTTAAATGAGTCAAAGACACATCTACCTAATCTTACCAAATTAAGTATTAAGTATCATAAACTGGCAACTGTGACAGAAAACTTTACAAGAGATGCAACACAACTCAATTGTATGAAGATAAAACAACTATTTATTGAAGAGATAATTGTACATTCAAAAGATTTCTATGATTATTTTCCTTCATTGTTAAATTAATTTGTTGTAATTAGTTGAATAAAACATATTAGAAAAAAAAGATGCTCATAGAATTCTAGATGTGAGCAAGGTTAGATCTTCTGTCCAACAGCATCGCATACGCCGCACTAAGACCTTCTATTCAACTAATGTTTCGTCTTCGAAACTAGCTTTTTCAATCTGAAATGAAATTTTTTTTTGTATGAATTAATTACAGAACAGTTTCTGGATTTTTGCTGTTTAACTCGTAATCCATAGAAAAAACAGGATAGTAAAGATATGGACTAGATAGTGGAATTATTTTGCTGTATCATCCTCAAGTTAGTCACAAGAAATCTATATTCTGTTCGGTCTCAGTAATCAACTGGTTTGTACAATTTTTTTTGAAAATTCAAAAGATCAGTTTTGAAGCTGCAATGTCGCTTAGATTGTATGGAGAAATAAATTTGAGATCAATCTGTGAAAGAATTCAGGCATATAGAACGTACCGGTATTCGTGAAAACAATCATTCGATGAAATTTTCAAAAAAATAGTAGCATGTAGAAATTTTTTAAAAATTCAATGAGATGTAAGAAAATTTTTTATGAAATATTTGTTCTGATAAGGAAAAATTTTCGTTTTTCTAGAAGAATCTTGGTTATTTATATATACATCGATAAGACCTTCTACTTTTGTTTTTTGTTGCCCTTTCATTAAAATTTTGACAGAGTCATCCATGTCTTTATCACAATGGTAGTATCGTCTACGTTTGTTTATGTTCATCATGAATCTTGTCACTTCTTTCAACCTGTCTCTTTGTGCTTATTCATCATGGTACAACACGCACTTTTTATGTGGGTGTGAGTGTCTAGGTGACGGAGGGAAGTGGTATTCATACAGCTGCATCTACATCCACATTTATACTAGAGATCTGCAGAGTGACATTGTTTTTATCTCCAGCTATGAAACATTCCAGAATTCTTTTTCAGTAAATTAGTAACAGAATCAGTGTGCGTCATACTATTTTGTAATACGAGTTAATCTAGCGTAGTTGTTTTTTGTTTTTTATTCTATTTGATGCCGTAGACTATTAGATTGAAAGTTTTCTTTAACTATAAGTTGTAACTTTTAAAAATAAACTTCACATGAGAATAGAATGATATACAGTTTTGCGAAGTTTTCACAATTCGTATATGAAATCCGACTTCAAAGAAATTTATTTTATTGACTCCGAATTCATAAGAATCGAAATTGCGTTCACGAGTTCGATGCAAGTCTCTAACTCACACCCTTAGAAACTTGCTTCTCCTAGTTCAGTTAGTTTAAATCGTCTACGAAAAGCACAAGTAACAAGATTAACTAAATCAAACAATATTAAATAGTAGTATTTTTTTTTAAATATGTATTTCCGATGTGTTCAATAGTGGTAGTTGTTTTTTTTGTCGCTAAATATCTTAAACGATGAAAATCGTTTTCTAATTGAAATTTATAAGGGGAAGGGAGGGAACGAAGAAGGACGGAAATTTTTGCAAAAATTATGCCACTCGAAGAATCAATAAAAATGAATGAAATAGACTAGCTTCAGCGCGCTAAAAATTGTTAAGACAACCGACAGGCTCGGTTCTGGTTCCAAGTCTGATATGTACAATCATTATTGAGAGGTTGACATTCCCAAATGAAAAAACATGTGTAATCTCCACATCCAAACATTTACATTACGATTGATTTATTGAAAATAGGATAATCGCGTTTGCAAAAATGTGAGAATTAACGGAAAGTAAATTCTCACACAGGAATAAACGTTAATTGAAATAAATTTTTTGATGTAGTCAACGAATAGTAAATCGTGTAAACTCTGTAATACAATGCAATGATGCATTCTATGTTACATATAATTATTCTTCTTTTGGATTTTATGGTGGTTTATAACAATTACTTTGTGATTTAGTGTATCGTACATCATTGATTGAATTCATAGAAGACTTTTGAAGATTCAAAGACGAAAAAGAAACTGATATTATATGCTTTTACGATAAATTGTTTCGCATCAATTTATCAATTAAACTGAAACTTACACTTGAGTTTTACATCTTTCTATTTATTAAAAATGTGATAAAAGAGATGATTTTTGAATATAATTGTTGGTTCTCAGCGACCTCTGTATCATTTCACAGTGAAAGAGGTTTACTGCATGACTACATTACTTCTGATGGTAATAAAAAAATAACTGGTTGTTAAAACCAAAACATTATAACATAAAGAATTCGTGTTCTTGCCAACATTCCATCAATCTAATTATCATACATATTTCATATTGATCAAAAATGAGTACGACAAATATTGATTCGTCGTGTTGTCTTGAAAATAATAATAAACAAGAATGTACACCTTCGGCAAAATATACTGAAGTTAGTCAAAATGGTGAAGTTCTTTATCAATCAGATTCTGTGCCTGTTGAAATAACAGCAACTTATTTACAACCAAGAGATACAATTGCACAAAGAAATGCTGCAATGACTGGTGAAAAAACTAGTGATCAATATAGGGCATTTAATATTCCAGCAAAATTTGATAATCCAGGTATACATATATCTATATTTATGATCAAATGATTTTTTTTTATTGTCTAAAAACAATTTTTTTCATATAGACTGGTGGCAAGGTTATAGCAAGAAAGAACCAAATCCACTCTATCGTACAACAGCACAAGATTATGGTGCTGAAAAACCTAATATTCATACAATGCCAACTGTTTATCGAACACAATCAAGTGCCTTTACAGAAGTATCAAAAATGTTTAATAAATTTTCATTTTCTATCGATCTTAACATTTATATTTTAGCATCTTGGTAAATGTGGTATTTATCGTTATCAAGGTCTTAATACGGCTATAGACAAAGGACGATTTATAGACAAATATTAATCTTTTTTTTTTCTTCTATTGCTTTAAAATTATTTTACACAAAATTAACTAATTTTAAGAACAATAGAGAATCGCTGATTCGTACATGTAAATCAACGAGAAATAATGACAGACATATGTAAACTAAATCAAATCTGAATGACAAAAAAATTCAGCATTTAAAAAAAAAATTTTCATATCATTTTTTTTATCTTCTTCTGTTTCAAATCAGTGATTTATTTTAGACAATTGTTGATAATGAATAATGTATGAATAATTTGTGTATGTGATTATAAAAAAGACGAAAAAAAACGAACACATGCAGAAATCTTCATACAAATAAAATCAATAAGAATAAATAATTGATTTTATATCATCAATTGAATAAAAAAAAAAAAGAAAGAAAAGCAAACGAAAAGCTTGAAAGAAAAATCAGAAGAAGTAAGGAAGAAAAAAAAAAGAGTGTTCAATAATGGGACAAACCTTTTTGTTTTTGTTTTCTTATAGATTTGTTTTGCTTTGTTTTTATTGAGACTAGACTACTAACACTAGGTTAGGAAAAGAAAATTGAATAGTGCAGATGTGATTATAGTAATGGTGGTAATAGTGTTGAGCGAACAAACGATTGATTTGTTTCACCGAGTTTGGTCAATGGGCAGAATTCAGGTCGAATTATTGACAAAAAAATAAATAAATAAATAAACATTTAAAGATCCGTAAAATGTTGCTGTGATTTTGATCCTTGAGATGAAGAATATAAATTATAATTAGCACTATTATCATTCTGTTGTTTATATGTTTGATATCGTTGATCTGTTTGTGGTTGATTTTGTTGCATGAGACGTTGACGTAGAAGTTCAACACCTTCACGTGTCATTGGTATTTGTGATGGTTTATGTTCTTGCATATATAATTGATTCCATGGTGAATATTCTTGATTTTTCCATTTACCAAGAATATTCCCCGATGGATATTGAAAATAATCATTATCTTGTTGTTGTTGTTGTTGATTTGGAGAAAACATAGATTGAGAATCCAATGGTGATGACCATGGTTGAGATACATTACGCGTTTGTAATTCCGACATACTTTGAGAAACTTTAACAAAAATAGATATTTTATTTTTTATAAGTTAATTGATTTCTTTTTTTTTTGTTTTCGTTTCTACCTTCATGAATATTTGGTTCCGTATTTAAATTAAGTGATTTACGTAAATCAATACTACCACGTGGTGATTGTGATATTACATCTAATATATTGAGTAAAAAATAAAATAAAATATCACAAGTTATTTAAAAGAAAATTATTACTTTCTGTACTCCGACTACTGAAACCTTTTGGTTTAGCATTAAAATCACTAAATCTTGGAGTAGTTCTTGGTGGTGGAGGTGTAAAAAGTGATTCAGGTAGAGTTGGCGTTTGTGGAAGACTAAATTTTTTTCGAATCGGTGAAAAAATAGGACCTGAATATGGTTTTTCATCAGGAGACCATGTTGTTGGTGCATGTTGACCCCATGGTTTAGTTGCTGGCTATAGAGAATAAAACACAAAGACAATAACAATAACATTTCATGTAAATAGAAAATGATAAAAAATTCATACTCCAATATAATTTGATGGTGATTGATAGCCTGGTTTCTTAACATTATTCTCATCAATAACCCATTTTTCAGAGCGAGCTTTACGTTTTTGAAATAAGGCTGCACCTTTACCACGATTGAGATTCAAATCAGCAGCAATACGCATTGCAGTTTGCGGTGGAACACCTGTATGTGTAACATGTTCCTAAAAAAAAACAAAAATTTTCTTTCATTCAAATTTCTCAATATACAGCGCCTCCAAAAATTGATCACACAGATTTAATTTTGATTTATTTCCGAAATGGTAATTAGTATAAAGAATCCAAAATAGTGATTTGGATAGAGAAAAAGACGAGAATACGTTTCGATCTCTTGGTCAATCTAATTGAATTATATATACAATGAAAGATTATGAGTTTCTGATCATTTTAATGGCAAAATCAAGGCATTTTGATTCGTCCATAGCTTTCAACAGCGTCTATTTTCATAACATACTAAATACGCAGTTAGTTGTTGATACTAGCCAACTTCATTATCAATAAAACTTTTCAGGTACTACCAAATACACTAATTTTTACGGTCTAAAAAAACAATGCGCTACATAACAAAATCTTTGGTTTACTATTCTTGAGGTTCAATTTTTAATTTTTTCGACTGATAATTTACAGTTTTCAAGCAGAATGATACGTATTTAACTTGAAATATTATATTTCGAATCTTTTAGTTGACTAATGTATGTTTCAAACTTTCTGTACGATTTTCTGTTCTAATCAAATTTTCACTGCCGGAGCTCTCGTCAAGAATGTTCGAAAAAATAAATTGAATCAAAACAACTATTTTCTTATTCAGGCACCTATCGTTTTGTGTTCAAATAGCATTTTGGAAGTTTAGAATTTTCTTTTCATTGCCACAATGATCTTTTTAACTAAATTCATGTTGTCACATATCTCTGAGGGAGCTTAGAAGGTAAAAATTTCATCAGAAAAAAAATCGTAAAATAATTTTTAAACATACATAAGTCAACTAACTGATTTCAAATATGATATTTGTTTTCTCATTCTGCTTGAAAACTGTCAAATAGCAGTCGGGAAAAGTTAAGAACTAAACATTACGTATAGAGAACTAAGGATTGTATTATGTGGGTCACTTTTTTTAGTCCATAAAAAGTACTGTAGTTTGTAGTGTTTGAAAAGATTGATTGATAATGACGTGTAGAGAAGGTTTCATTAACACTATAATTAAACAACAAATGTCATGCACATGGGTATTTTAGACTACAAATTTAAGTAATGAAAAAAGTGTATATGATTTAGTAGATTCAAAACATTATTTTAAATGAATGATTTTTTTTTTAATAAAAATATATCGTAAACAAAGGGCTATCAGAATATCTTTGAATCACTCGTCATCTTTTCCTTATTTTCTGTCAAATGACTACTCATATCTCTGGCTAACATTAATAACTAATTATCAATGATTTAATTAGATTGAGCCTTGAGAATCGAAAGGAACTGATATGCGTTCTTATGCATCCCTGGCCCTTTGTTAGTACTCTGAACCTTGAAATAAACTATTATTTTAGAGCTCTGAGTATTGAAAAACTTGACTTCGGATGGAACTCTGGATTTTCAGAATACTATTTGGATTCTTTATGTCAGTTATCATGACAGAAAAAAAATCGATATTAAGTTTGTATGACTAATTTTTGATGATTATATATAAATCTCATACCTGCTCCATATGAATTTGTTTAAAGTCTTCTGGTGCACCAACATATCTTAATGGATTAATATGTTGAGCTTCTTCTAAACTATGTTTAATACAATCAGGTAAATTTGAAGTATCATAATATGGTTTATCATTGGTTTGTAATTGACGTAGTGGTCGATAATTACTTACAGCAGTTGTTGTTGATGTTGCTTCAGCTTCAAGTGTATATTTGTCTGCTCGTTGACGTTGTCTTTCAAATTTTGAAGCACCTTTTTGAGATGGATCACCTCCTTCTAATATATGGGCAATTTTTCTTGCCATTTGTTTTTGTTCTTCAATAGTTGGATAAGTATTAAATGGTGTCTTAAAGAAACTTGAATCGGCATAACGTTTTTCTTCAAAAATAAAAATCATATTGATATGCATAAAAAAAAATTTTTTTGTATCTTAAAAATAAACATACTATTTGGAATAGGTGATTTGAGCAATTCAGCACCAAATTCATGATTCATAGCACCTAAATATTAGAAAATAAAGAATAATAATAATAAGAAGAAAAACAAATTTTATGCTTACTAATACTATCAGATTTACGTCGTTGATTTTCAGATGGAAAACTAAGTTGCGGTGGTCGTTTAAATCGAGCTGCTGCTGCTGCTTGTTGTTGTTGTTGTTGTTGTTGTTGTTGATAACGATACACATCAAATGGTTGTTTTTGAAATTTTGGTGTTTCTTGTGGTACATAATCATCATAAGCTTTACTTGATATTGAACGTATCGGTAAAACAATATTACTTGGCCGTCGTGTAGAATTTATTTGTCGACTAATTTTTGTATAACGTGGACCAGAAGATCCCACATATTCGGAATCACTAAAATAATTTTGATCACTACTTGGTATAATTTTTGTAGCATAAGTTGTTGGATATGGTTTATACGATGATTGTTGTTGATTATTTATATTACCAATATGTGAAACATTTAAATTTTTAAGACTATTTGAACGAATAGTAGCTGATGAACGTCGATAATCATTTGTATCCGAAATATAACCACCTGTCATAGGTTCATTATAATTACGTGGCGTATCATATAGATTATTTGATTTTGATGAACGATAATTAAATTGTTGTCCTTTTGTTGAAGTTGATGGTGAATTTGATGCTAATGTAGCTGTACGAAATATTGCTGGTAATGGATTATTAGTTGTACGTCCAAATGAATCCATAAAACGTTGATCTTTGTTGTAATCAGGTTTATTAAAACCTGATGTTGATTTATATATAGGATGTGTAGGTGCATCATATGATGAATTATATTGATAATCCATTGATTGTCGTTGTGGAGTTATACGATGTATTGAACGAACAGGACTATTTTCTCTTGTATCTAAACTTGAAATTGAATCCGATCGACTGTCACGACGATGTGTTGTACTATAAATATAAGAAAATAATATTAATATAAAATAATTTTTCATAATTACCTTTGTACTTCGAGAATAAGTTGATCGTGAACAGCATCAATTACATCATTTACTTCACGTAAAGTTTTTTTTAATGATGATACACCATTAATTGATAAAAGTGTGTCGCCTCCTGTAAGACCAGCAAGTGCTGCCTTACTTCGATTACGAACCTATATATATATTGAAATAAAAAGTTAAAAAATGACAAGAGACGTTATTTGATGTTTTTTTTTTCTTTGTGAAAAAAGAAAAAACTACCTTAGAAATATAAACAGGTGTGTGAATGCCGCCTGAAAGTCGAAAACCCCAGGGAGCACCACCTCGTAAAACTGCAGTTTTTCGATCACCTAACATTATATGTCTATGCTATTTCCTGATTCAAATAAACAACAAAGGTCGTCATACGTTCATTGTTCGTCCTCAGACGAATGTCAATAACGTCTGCTGTTGTGACGGACGAAATGTTCTTCTCTCAAACATTGCGAATAACATGATGTACGTATAACAGAAAACGAGAGAAAAGACAAGACGAGAAAATCAGGGAATATCTTAATGAGAAAACATTTGATCGTCAAAATAGTAAGTAGTCGGTAAGAAAGAAGAAAAAACACTCTTCAATTAGAATGTTTCGCTGCCTCTTCTTACGATATATATGTATGTATGTAATGTACTGGAAGGAAATGAGAGAAAACTTTTTCTTATCCGTAGTGTGATCTATTTATATGTATCAAGTAATAGGAAATACAAAGTAATTTTTCTCTTTTTTTTTTGTTCTCATCTTATTCATGTGTGTGCATACAAGCGAGTCTGAATGATATTTATATTTGTCGATAGAAAATATTGTTGATTACAAATTCTTATATCAATAGTAAGAAATAGGAGAAAACTGGGAAAGATATCTTGACAATAGAGATCACACTCCTGTCGCTTGTCTTTTTTTTTTTGCTTTCTGTCCTATTCTGGGTTTTTTTGTCTGCTTTATTTTTCATCGTTTCTTCGTTTTTTTCTACGTTAATAAATGCTCTAATGATTGAATGAAGACAAACGAGGGAAAAAAGCATCCATTTATGATTATCATAGACCAGTCTCTCGTTATATCATACGACAACGGCTATGCATCTTTTTCTTCTGCAAACAACCAGATGTATATTAATAATACACATAGGAACTGCTTCTTGCTCGTCGTCAGCAAGAAAACAAACATATGTATACATATATATATAAATAAGCAAGAAAAAAGCAAGAAAAAAACTCTAAAGGATTCTATCAAGCATTTATAATGTAACAGAGAGGAAAAAAAAATAATTGTATGTATTCTTCAGTTATCGTCATCGTTGCATAGCGTTCCCACTCTTCATTAATCTGAGATTGGCATAATAACTAATAGACAAATCCAGTTGATCCAAATGTTTTTTTCATCAAAAATTAAGTCAAAACTAGTTACTGCGTTTTATGTCAATCATAAAAACACAGGCTAAATATTGGATACGCATTTTTGCTAATGATAATATATGATAGATTAGATTTTATATTATACTTGATTTTGGGCTTTTATATATGTAGTAAAACCATCTACATCTTTATCTGTTTGTTATTTATTATTATTATTTGGCAGTCTCCAACAAGATTAAAAGCTAATTCTCTAGTGCGCCATACAACTTACCGTATATTATATTTTCCGAGCCTTCGCTAATCAATAATTAAGAAGACCTTGTTTTGTTATCCTTCTTTGGTCTTTTTTTCTTAACAATACCAAAAATATTACAGTTATATATATATACAATGATAACCAAAGTGTTTCGCCCAGGTTAATACGAGTTGATGACACACACACAAGAACAACAGCAGTTCGTATGCTTTCTAGTCTTAACAACGATGTGGAAAGCGTTGCCCTGTTTTTTTTTCCTTCGAAGTGTTTATATGAAACAGCCAAGGAAAAAAGATTGTTGAGTATAGCAATTGTGTCGATAGGATCGTCTCAAGCGATAACGACAGTTTTTATACAAAGAAAAGCAGAAAGATCTTTTCTGTCGTTCTACTCTCTTCTTACAACTAGAACCTACGCATAATGTTTTTCTGTATATGTCTATATGATATGGATTAATTCCAAGGTTGGTCGAAAAGACCGATACTATAAGACTTTGTCTTAGCGATAACAAACAACAAAGACAAGATAAACGAGATATCATTTTCTAACGAAAAAAAAAATACACTAAGGCCAGAACAACAGGCAGAATAAGAGATAGGATCTGTCATTCACGATATATATATATACACACGGGATTTGTAAAAAAAAAAAAAAAAAAAGAAAGATGTCATGCAAATAAGAATAATATGTATTCTTACATTAATATTATTAACAATAGGATTGAAATCTTTCGACGTATAAAAATCATTTGATAATCGTTTTAATTCATATTGATAATCAATTATATTGTCTCGAATCATCAAATCGATTAATTTCTACGTTATTTTCTTTATTGTATCGTTATAAATATGAGACTGATCTCTTGTTCTTTTCTTCACATTATATATCTATATCTATATCTATATCATGATGATGATGATCAATATAAACACCTGAACTAGATAAAACGACTAACAAGAGAAAAATAAGTTTATGTAATACAATCGAAAGAAATCGATATTCTTCGAAGATATTTATATATATATATATGTGTGTGTGTGCTCACAGCATGAAAGAATCCAACGAGAACGAACATATATATATATTGATCAAACCTTGATCTCAATAAAAAAAACATACAAGTAATGAGTGATAGTCATATATATTTTATTAAAGCTAATTTAAGTATAAGAAAGTATTTGTAAATCATATGAACCATCAATCTATAAAAAAAGAAAACAAAAATAAAGAAATGAATATTTCAATTGAAATGAAATTTTTTTTTTTCAACTATTAATTTACATCAAATCGTTTATTATGTTCAGGACCATAATCTAATTGTTGCATTTTAGTACATATTGTCCACATTGCTTGTAAATGTTGTGAAAGTTCATTAATTGGTGGTATTTTCTATGAAGGAAAAAAAAACAAAGAAAGTTCTTCGTTCATGTCATAATCACAATAGATATTACTTACAGTAAATGTCATTTCTGTCATTTGATCATCATTAATCAAGGCACTAGCAAGTAAACGTTCAATTGATGGCTTACGCTAGAAAAGATAAATTAATCTGTAAAAGTTATTTATTCTGTATGTGATAAAGATGTAAAAAATAAAATTAGCTTCTATAAAATATTACTTGTCTTTTTTTTTTCTTACATCTTTTATAGGAATTATTTGATTATGAATTTTAACATTATTAATAGAAAAATCTTTCCATATTGGTGATGGTTGTTGAAGTATAAAACGTATTTGATAAATAGAACGTGGCATAAAGATTAACTAAAATATATAATTATAATAGATTTCTCTATGAAATTCTTCTCTTTTGAATACCTGTTCTTGATCAAGTATAATATGACTATTACTACCAAGTTCACCATGTGGTGATTCCATTAATCGATATCGTTTTAAACATGGATGCCATTCATCTAATTTAATTATAGATAAAAATTTGATCTATTGAATATAACCTTACATTGATCAAACTTATCAGTTAAATGTATCATTATGAAATATAGATTGACTTTGATTAAAATGTTCAATTATGATTACAGAATTATATGCAACAATCATTCTCATCAATATTTTCAATCGTATACTATTAATCATTAAAATTTTCATAGGCAAAATTTATGTCAGAAAAGGAATATAAACATTTTCAGGATATTTACACACTGAGATTTTTATAGATATATGTGAGTTTATTGAATATGATGCGGAACAAACGTTGTGCACTTCAATGATAAAATTAGTTTTACTTATTGAAAAGACAATAAAATTGAAATAATATATCATGAGTTATAGGCTAAACAAGTTTCAAAATGTTACTGTACAAAGTAGGCGAATACATTTGGTTTTAGGTACTCTGACCTATTTTTCTCTAATGAAGAAATAAGAAAAGATAAATTGGTTTTCTATTCAAGCATGTCTCAGCTTGCAAAAGCTATCGTTTTATGTCACTATACATGAAAATAGATAAAGAGTTTGTTATAGAATGCTAATAACAAAACTATACGAACGGAAATAAGTAAAGATCAGTGAATCTCGTATTTCGCTAGAATAATAGCCAAGCTACACAAAATGATTTGTTTATATGACCTTTTTGTTTCTCAAATGAGCATGTCTCCTACATATGTTTCACTTAAAAATACGATGTTTTCTTATTTTAAACTCAATAACTTATGAATGATATGAATTCAGCGTATGTGTGTATGAGATTATGAGAGGAATAAAATTTAAAGAAGTCATATTAAAATCGTTCTATAGAAACGAAAATTATAACGTAGATCTTCTAAAATATTAATTGTACCAGTGATGAACATGGTTTGGTTCTGAGATAAGTTCATACAGTTTAGAACAGTATTTCGATATGTAATACAAGATGAGTAAATAAAAAAGATTTGCCATAAGTAGAAATTTAATAATTAGCATATTTTCTAGTCTGTCTTTATCTAAGAAAAATAGAATGTAAACAAACTAGTTTTGCCCTTTAAAGAAGAAAGTATTTATGTCATGATCAATTTAATCAAAATACAATTGTAACATTCCTCTCTTCTTAACGCATATAAAGTAAAAATAAAGAATTACACTGTTAGTATTTTCGAAGTTTGCTCTCTATTATCCTCTTGATTACAAGATGTTTTTTAATCAAAAGATAGCGCTCAAAATACTGCACATAATGATTTAACAAATATAATCTCCTTCATTTTTTTGTGATTAAACATAATCGTACAGTATAATTAGCTGCAGAATTTAAAGTTTTTTCTTTACTGAACATTTTATTTCGTCTATCAATATCGTTTTTGCTATAACATAGCTTCAGCCAGTTCATTTCAGAAACTAATTGTAATGATCAGAACGATCGGGTGTGGACTGTGAACAGGAAAGAGACAAAAAAGAAAGATGCTGTTCATGCGAAAACAGATGTCTCGGTAAAGATGAGGGTGTGGTTAGGTATATGTGAACAAGGGCAGATAGTGACAGTGATTTTGGAAGATAGGACAATGAATACGGAAAGATTTATTGATGGAATTCTTCCAATAGGAAACAATTGAAAACTTTAGTAAGGTGATGCAAGACTCTACATACATCGTCTGAGTCCAAAATAGTGTGCTAATGATTTTCCGGCATTCATCTCGAAGTATCGTTGGCCACTAAACTCATCTGATTGATGCCCATTAGACTACAGCTTATGAAATGAATTGGCTGAAGCTATGAATTGGGACCATACTATAACAAAGGCAACACTGAAAGACGAAATATAAGGTTCAGTAAAAATATTGAGATAATTAAAAAGATGTCATAGAAAATAGGACAGTTCGAAGGATATGAATGGATTTTTCCGAATTAGAGAAATGCAGAAATCATTTTAGTTTCAGCCTTCATTAATTTTCAAATGAAAATTCTGGACATCAGACATTTTTTTCGATTAGATATATTGATTAGAGTTACAATTGGGTAATTTGTTGAATAATTAGTGAAAGGTCTTCTATTATAAAGGAAGGAGTTTAGATAACAATCATTTGGACTAAAACGATTGTTATAATAAAAATAAAATTTTTTAATTATCTGTAGTAGAATTTTAAAACTGATTATTTCGATTTGGTTTAAATTTTGAAAAACCCGAGCCGAGACCGTCTCTCAATTGTACCAAAAAACTGTAATGCATTTATCTATTTCTTATCGAACAATCTAAAAGGGTATCCTAAAAACTCTGAAATAATTCTAAAATTCATCATCCGTGTATTCAACAAAAGTAAACTCTTTGTTGATTTGTCAGATTACTGTAATTGCTTGGTAATAAATATATTTTATTGGTGACAAATATGTGAAATTCATTCCAACTATTGTAATAGAAAAAGCATCTAAAGAATTACGTGATTTACAAAATATAATTTTTCATGATGATCGAATTCATGAAAAAAGAATGTAGGTGATTTGAGATACTGTTGGACATCTTTTCATCTGAACTAGAAGATAATGGTGTAAACCTAGCCGACATTTGGCATACGAAAAGCACCTATGATATATTAACAGAAAAATGAAGAGAACAGGAATATAATAATATTCAACAACTGAAAAATAATAATAAAGAAGAACGGAAAAATTTCGTGTTCGTTTTTATCAACGAATGGTAAATAAAATATCAGCGCTATTAAAATTAGTAATCGATTATCATGATAGTCAAATAAACGAATATCGACAAGTTGATATGTTTCTTTTTTATTTGGAAAAGTTCTTTTGATTTAAAAGTTTTTTTTTTTTTTTAATACAAAAACAGTAAATTTTAAAACCATGTCAGACTTTGTGAATCATTCTATAAGAAAAATGTTTCTAAGAAATTATTTTACCTTCAGAATGTTGTTTAATTTTAATTGATAAAAAAGCAGTATAATCATTAGTAAATTCCAATGATAAAAAATTCTATAAAATTCAAATAAAAATCTTTCTTTTTCCGGTTCGTTTTTTTTGCTGTAAAACTCTACTTTAATCGGAATTTCATTACATGTCGACGTAAGCATTTTACATCCTGAATGACATAATACATTCTGTCGATCTTGAATTGTTAATAGTGTTTGTTCTTTAAAATTAATTATTGTCGTCATTTTTGATATATATTATGAATCAATCGTTTTTTTTTCATTCAAGTAAATGTTACTATAACAATTGAAGAGTGAAAAAAGGAACTGACAAAAAAAAGATAGATGTCATATTGAATCTTTCATTGGAGATTGTATTTCACCAATAAATAATTTACAAAAAAATATCTAACTAACTTAGTTTATTGAGGAAATTAAGTAATTCTTTTTTTTCTTTTTGATTTATTTTTACATCTATAGATAAATAAAAATGGTATTCTTTAAAATTATTTATATGATTCTATGTTTAATTCCATTAACAAATACCATCTTAGAAGACGATATTCTGTATGATATTAAATGGCAACCAGAATTAACATCAGTATAAATATTCAATTGAAAAAAAAAAAGAAAAAGAAAATTTTATTTGTTTATTTTTTATTTCATTTCTTTTTAGCCAATTGAACTTGATAATAGTTATACATTTACATCCAAACGAAAAGAAAATTATTTATGTTCTTTACCGACACTTCAAACAACAATTTCGGTAATAACCAGTGATACAAAACTTCTGTATTAAGTTTGTTTTTAATATTGCATGATAGCAAATCATCGTAGAAATTTGATAGTTTTCTTATTAGAAAGAATAATATTTCTACTACAAAGCTGTGTAAAAATATTTCATTCAAAATATTGAAATTTCTAACAATATGTTTGACTGGAAAAGTTCTCTAGATTTTAAAAGAAAACCTTCATCCACTAGGAGACTTGTTCTTATTTTCCGTCTTTTATTAAGTTTTGTAGTACTACGATAGAACATTGTAAAGAGACAAAAATCAAATTTTCAAGTTATCAGTTGAATAAGAAATCGACATTTTTCTACCACCGTTTCTTAGGGAAAAGTGTTCACAACTAATAATTAATTTCAAAAAATAAGTTTTTTTTTTTCAGCAATGGAAGTTAGTGAAAACCCATATTTTTCTCCAATTGGCGTTTAATGAGTCCTCTACATAAGTACATCCCAGGACGAGCACTCGGCAGTCATATACAACGCTGTTAACGATTGTGTAAGGTCGTATATATAGTATAAATTATAACCATCTAGGACGTAGTGTGTTATCGTATTCATCTATGCTTCTCGCTCGCTGCGAGGAAGAGACTTTCTTCCTTCATCGTCTTAAACACGAAATAACTATTTATTTTAACATGAACACTTACTGTTTATTATGTTGTTCGAATTATTCTAAATAATAATAAAAAAATACTTATCATTATATTTGTTTCTGAATTCAAAACAAAAATCTATATCCTTGATAAGTACTATTTGATTTACGACCAACTACGATCGTGTATGACAGTCGTTTACATTCATTGCATACATTATTCAGATTTGAACGCATGAGGTCATATGGATTCATAGTATATGACCGTATACGATGGGTTTTTTTTCGACCTAAGATTGTACAAAAAAAGAATTTTAGATATCATGAAAAAAATTTTATTGAACGTTTTAGAGAAAAAATCAAATTTCTATGGAATCTGGGACTTTGTTACTCAAATATTTTGATATCACTAGAAAGAGCTCATGTCGTGTTGATTACACTTAAACATAAAGTGCTTAAAAGTTTCGAAAACCAATCGATCAAATGTTTGTCTCATTGTTAATTTTATGTGAAGTTGTAAAGTACTTTTCCAGTCAAACATGTTCTATTTTGAATGAAATATTTTTATATAGCTTTGTACTAGAGACTCTGTTCTTTCTAACAAGAAAACTATAAATTCTTTATGACAAACTGTTGTCATGCTATATTGAAAACAAAATAAATGCGAAACTTTTGCATTATCCATTATTTTTCGAATATTTGTATCTATAAAATAATTTTGTGTTTTAGACATCAACTGATTCTATTCCATTACCTTCTATTGAACGATTATTAGAAAATTTACATTCAAAAAAATTATGTGTATATCGAGTAAGTTCATTGCTTTCTTTTTAAAAAATAAATTCATTATTTATTGAATGATTATAGTTGGATCCATATTGGACATATGAATTATGTCATGGTATACATATTCGACAATATCATGATACAAAAGTTGCTGGAAAAGTAAGATTGAATTATTTCAATGAAAAATTAATCAAAATATTCTCATTTTTGACTTTTAGAAATCAACTCTTCAAGAATATTATTTAGGTTATTATCATTCAGATAATCAAGAGATTTTTACTGATTCTGATGGTCAATCAGCATTGAAAGTAATCAGAAAAAGAAGTTCTATTTTTTGAAATTAATTTTTTTTTTTTTGCTTAATTTATAAGATACATTATAAAACAATTGATAATAAAAAAACACCAATGTTAGCTGTTAGATATACAGATGGTACATTATGTGAAATTAATTCAAATCAAGCACGTGAAACTATTGTTTATTATGGTGAATTTTATAAAGATAAAAGTTTATTAAGATTTCTTTTTTTTTGGTTGATTCTGTTTAGTTTGTGATGAAAGAGGTAATGATGGTATATTAAATTTTGAAGAAATATCATCATGTTATTATGAAATGACTGTTGCTTCAAGATGGCTATGTAAATTACCAGTATTTAGGTAAAAAACTGATGGCATGATGAATTCTAAATTCTGTACATCATTTTTACCCATTCAATTAAAAGGATACAACTTCTAATTTACGTATTCGATTGGATCAGGAAATTCATTTTATTATGAAAAGTATACAGTGAGAAGACAATAGCTTCAGCTACACTAATACTGTACTCATATGATGACTACCAACGGTATGCCGTTCGGTATAATGTGCGCTTGGTTTTGAAAATGTTATATCGTATGAAAACGGATGAATATACTAGCTAACGTTTTATTTTAAATATATTTTAGAAGTCAACGAGAAATTAAAACAATTACTGTATTGTGTTAGTTATTAATGCAAATATTCAAGTTTAAAAAATAAATACAGATGAAATTTCTTTCGTTTTTAATATGAATGAATTAATATATTGATTCAGATGAGGACATTTACTCATTTGTGTTGCAATCAGATTTCTAGTTCTAGTTTTTCCATAATATTTTAACATCATACTGTTATTATAAGTTCTTAGAAAAATATCTTTTAAACAACGTATTTTTTCATACATCAGGAGTCATAAAAACATGTCCGTACTTGAAAAGATTATGATAAAGATTTCTACATATACAAATCTTTGGTTTAGTTTAAGTTTAAGAAAACTACCCAAATTTATTTTTCATACTTCTGAAGATATTGTACCAATTTTTTATTAATATTGTAGCTTTCTTTTATTTTCTATTCTATATATAAACTTGTATTGAATGTATTATAGACATATTTTAAAGGTAGGAAGTAACTCAATAAACATCAGTATTTTTAAGAACGATAATTTATAATAAGCAACCTAAACCTTCAGCTTCATATTTAGATGTCTATTCAAAAAATAGTGAAATTCATCGAATTTTAATCATTCAAAAATGAATTCTAAGAGAAGAATAGATTATTTAACTTTCGAATCTTTAGTTTCAATCGAAGTAGAATGTTGCCTATCAAACGTTTATTTGATTATAAATTCAAAACTTATGAATCTTCTCTTCATATCGATATTTATCAACCATCTAAAGATATATTCTTGTTTTGTTTTTCTCTAATTTATACTTCCTACATTATCTATCTATATATCTTTTTTTTTTAAATTTTTCATTCTATAGTCCATCAGAAGCCAATCGATATAGTATAAATTGTTTTCCAAAAGAAAATGCTCGTCAAAAACCACGAAATTTAAAAAAACTCGAAGATGAACGACAATTGTCTTTAAAAAAAGGAGGTCGAGCACAATTTACGGTAAAAAAAATATGATTGTGCAATTCACGATTGTGCAATTACAACTCATGACCTATTTATATCTAGATGACAAGTGCGGACGGAACGACATTTATAATAGCATATCAATATGGAAATGATGATGATCTTAATGATTTAACTGAAACTACAACACGTGATTCAACAAATAAAATAACTCAATCAAGTTCAACTGAACAAACAGAAATCAATAATAATAATAATAATCAAAATGTTCGACAAGAACCATTGGGAAATTTGGGTGTTGATGTTGATCGAGAATTTCTTGGAAATTTTTTTTCTGGTCGAGAATGTTTACCTGGTGGAACAGGTTGGTGGAAATATGAAATATGTTATGGAAAACATGTTATTCAATTTCATGTAGAAAAATTTCTTTTTTTTTTCTATGTCATAAAATAAAAAATTTTTTTTTTATTATTTTTAAAGGAAGAAGGTCAACATCGTATATCAGTTTTACTTGGAACATGGAATCGTGATAAACATATTGAATGGTTAAATAAAAATCCTAAAAAGAAACCATCTGGAAATACTAAAGATCGACAGTAGATAGAATTTTTAATTTTCAATTTTTTGTTTTTTTCGAAAATTTTATTCAAAATCTTTAGATTTGTTTCATTGTATTATACCGATGGTGATATGTGTGATTTAACAAAAACTCGACGTGTTGTTGAAGTTAAATTAAGGTAAATTATTTAAGAAAATAAAAAAACAAATCAATCAAATAAAATATTTATATTTAGATGTCAAAAAAAAATGGATAAATCTCATGCAACATCAATGTATCTCGTCGAACCGGAAACATGTTCTTATGTTTTAGGAGTATGTATATTATATGGGCCATTTTGAGAAAAAAGCGGGACATGTTCATCTAT